GACGTCACGCGTCGCCGCAGCACTCCTTGCCTCGAGCTCCCTGCGCCTGCCCTCCTCTCCCGATCCATCGAGATGGCAGCAGCCTTCACGATGCAGCAACGCGTTCAGCTGCTGACTTCCGCGATCGATCCTCAACGCGGGTGGCGGCGAGCCAAGCCTCCCGAGGACCGTGGACGAATCCCACGTCAAGGAACTCGAGGACACGCTGGCTCGTCTCCTCCGCGAAGAGGATCGCGGAAGTCAGCAGCTGGACGCGTTGCCGTCGTTTGAGGAAGGGCTGCCCCTTTCGAAGAAGGCAGGGGGAAGGGAGCGCGCGAGACAACGAATGCGCGGCGTAGTGGGTCGTCGATTTGCATTGCCAGCGCCGTCAGGCCAAAAACTCGAAGGACCTCGGCGCAGCCGTCGAAGAACTCTTCGAGGCAAGGGGCATCGGGCATCGGTCAGACATGACGTAGATCTCTCCGCCTCAGGAGCCCCGCGCGAAAAAGGCCCGAAAGGAAAGGTGCTGGTCGACGCCAGCACCCAGGAGCACTGCGGCGACCTCAGTCATAGGGAAACCCAAATTAGTTAGGGGCGTCGCGCGGGTGACATGTCTTTCTTGACGCTCAGATGCGCGGAAGATGGACGAGGAGGGCAGGGAGCTGGAATTGCTGCTGCGGCAGCTCGAGCGAGCCTGGCCCTCAATAGAGTCGCGTGCCGAACTCTTTTGCCAGGGTGTTCCGTAACATTTTTTGGGGCATTGACACGTCTGCCTGTGCTCAGGGCGAGGACAACCTCAGACACGCCCGCAGGTGTGAGCAGCTCGGCCTGGACAGCGGGCTGGGCGAAGGCAATTCGGCCCGCGAGATTGAGCGGCGCGTCGAGAAGGCCAGGCGTGAAGTCGATTGCCTGGTGCATCAGCATGTCAGGGGGTTGGACCGCCAGCCCGCCCGGCCAGTCGCCGAAGGCCTGAACCCGAAGTGGTTCAATGCCAAGGGTAAAATCAAAAGCGGTCCGCCGTGCCCGCGCGAGGGGTGCGCGGACGCGGCGAACTGCAACGGGGGCCAAAAGTGTACCCAAATGGCGCGGGAGCATGGGGAGGGAACTGGGGAGTTCATCCGACCCATGCTCCGGCTGGGGCCGTTTCACACAAGGTCCAAGTTCGCTGTCCATAACAGCGAACTCAGGCGATGGGGCGCCCAGGGCTGTCCGGAAGATCTGCCGCTGCAGCCAGCGCCGAAGCGAACCCGCCGTCAAGTACTACTACTACTACTACTACTACTACTACTACTACTACTACTACTACTACTACTACTACTACTACTGCTTCTACTAGTACTACCTCCTCCTACTACTACTACTACTACTACTACTACTACTACTACTACTACTACTACTACTGCTGGGTGCGGGAATGGTGGCTGGACCTGTTCAGCAAAAACAAGCAAGAGGGATTGTTTATAGGCGTCATTCCCTCGCTGCTGAGAACCAGCAAGTCATGGAACTAAATCAGACAAACAAGGAATAAGCAACAGCCGCAAGCTGACAACTTGACAAACCAACCAACAAGCTTTCTTTTGTCAACAAGCCTGCAGGTTAACATAGAGCGTGAAAGAACGTTTTTGGAGGAGCATCATTCTGCTGATTTTTGGACTCCCTCAGGTTTGTTGAATCTGTGCCAACCTCGTTCGTCTTCTCACAGGTTTCTGCGGCGTAGCTTTCATATGTGTTCATATTCCTAAAATGAAGCCAAAGGAGATTTGTAATTATTTAGCCTTTCCGGGACCCTAGCCTCCCAACTCTCAGTTTGGGTGCGTGTTGTTGTAAGGAACTTGTTTGCCATGTTTGCTGGTTGGTTTTCCTTTAGGAAACCGCAATCCGTTCGTTGGGTCCCACTTTGACGCGCCATGTGGGCTAAAAAGGGTGCCCCCCGCCCAAGAACCAGGAAAAAGGAAGACGAGCCGCCCATATCCTTCGCCATACCCAGTTCCCTTTGCCCGGCTTAGGAGGGCTGATTAGCCGTGGCCGTGGCCGGCTTAGGAGGGTTGATTTCCTGCTAAAATCAACTGCTATTAAAAGGCACATCGGGGAAACTCAAAATATGGAAATCCACTTGGGGTTTCCTTTTCTGGGTGGCTCCCAGCAATCCAGTTAACCCACAAAAAGTTGTAGACTTTTAGCATGGGATTTCCTTTTGGTTTCCTTTCCCAAAAAAATCCACTGGTGCCTGGTCTGGGTCCCGCTGAGGTTTCGCAAGCAACTCTTTTCCACGGTGGACCGGCTCATGACCGCGGAGCCCCAGTACATCATCATGGGCACCTCGCTCGCTTCGGATTTCGTGTTTCTGCAGGCAAAGGTAGATGGAGGGTCGGTTTGTAGGGAAACCAAAGACGCTTGCAAAAGGTTTTAATAGGAAACCCAAAGGAAAGCCGCAACTTGATGTCATTTGTTTGGTTCAATGTTTATATATATATATATATTTGTATATATAGAGATATGTAGATATGTCAGAAAAGGAAGGGGTCCGAAAGTCGTCTTGCTGTAGGGACAACCATGTATGCGAAAGGCTTTAAGGGGAGACCAAAGGAATGAAAGTCTAAGACAAACTCAAATCGGCCTGCGTGTCAACAGTTGGGCAGATTTCTGGGACTCCGGAGTAGTCGGAAAATAAGCTCTAATTTTGGGACCGTAGATGTGGGGGAAGATACCCCATTTCAGCTTCAAGAAAGGGTACCCTCCCATCTATCGATCTCACGGGGTCCTGCAAGACAAGAATAGTTTAAAATGCACCCGCGGGTGGGGCTCAGACGGAAGTAGGCAGGGGAGCCGGACATCACTTTGACGCATCAACATAACCCCTGGCTTTTATTTCGCGGGGGATGTCACCGGCGAGTGGATACAGAGCAGCATTGGCGGAAACGCCCCCTTAACCCGCCAGGTTGATCTTCCGCAAACAACGCTGTGGTGGGTACTTAGAGTCTGCCACAAATGTTTGACCGGTGTTTCCTTTTCCAACCAAGGAACAAGTGTTGAGCAGGTTGTGTCCAAACAACCAGATCCCGCTTTCTTTGGAAAGAAGCCAAGAGAAGATTCTTCAAGCACTCTACACCAACATCAAGGCACGCACGAAACCGACCCACAAACCAATCGGATAGCCCAAAGTCGCCAGGTAAACTGATCCCAGCGCGGCCCTACCCGAAATGACTCGCTCCATCAGCTTTCGTCCTGCTTTCAAAATGCGAATTTCACGAATCTCAGCCTCATGGTTTGTTTCTGAAGCCATGTGTAATTCCTCGGCTCGGGTATATCTATTGTTTGCTTCGTCGACATTGTGTCTGTATTGCCTACCGTTTTCAATGAGGGTTCGGTGAAAAGTTCCAGTAGCATCTTCCATTGCCAAAGCTGCCCAGGTATGTCTCTGGAGACCTTCTTCGGTGGTTGGGAGGGCAATAAGGCGGGTTTGCCAAATCCAAATTGGCCTTCCATCAAAGACGAATGAGGTCCGGGGCAGAAACTGTGTGGTGTCTTTGCGGATTTTTCCTGGTTTCCCCTGGGAACACTGCAGCTATCTTTACATGACGGAAAGATAACTAAAAAATGGTGAACGCTTCTCTGTAGTGTATTGGTTCCTGCCCTTTCAAGACAGTCCATGTATTTCGGGCCTTCGTTTTCCGAAAGAGTCTTGGTGAAGACCTTAGTTCCTCTTTTTTGGGGGGGGAAGGGGGAGCGAATGATCGACCAACCCAATGAACCGGATCCACCCCAAACCCTAAAGGCGCGTTGATGCTTCCAAGACAGCATAAACTTACCCAGTTCAAGACTGAACGGGATCCCAGACTAACATGTGAAGCCTTGGTTGCCAGTTAAAAAACAAAAAACGTGACAAGGAATCTTGATGCGTGTGTGTGTGTGTCTACGTCAATTACTCTGGGCAAATCAGAGCGAGCTCACCCTCGGGTGAAACGAGCTCTCCCATGGTGAAGTTGTTGGGATTTTTCAGTTTTAAGCATAGCAGTTTGTCTCAGGCAAAAAGAAAAGTTGGGAAGGAACCCAGAAATCCCAAGTGCTTACAAAAAGACATTTTGCGGCCCGGTTTTCGAAAGCATGAGTAACTGAAAGGCCCTCCTGAAATACAACGTCGGTTGGAGACTCAGGTTTTGCTTGACTCAAGTGGGCTGGAGCGCACCTGGGAGAATGTTTCCGGCGCGAGGAGTTCAAGCAAGAGCTGACTGAGCGCACTGGCTTGAACATTGCCACGGGGGCAGAAGCTTGTAAGGCCTGGAGTGAGAGCATGGCTTCGATTCGTGTCTTTGTGTTGAGGCTCTGTGCTTGTTTTGGGGTGGGTGTTGAAGGGAAACCAAGAGGAGATCACGCAAAACAAGGGGTGCTCCTACGTTAAGACACGCCCAAGTTGCATGCTTGCACAGTTTTGTGAGTTGGGCTTGCGCTCTTTGCAACGTAGTCAGCTGTTTCTCCTTTTTTCCCTCTTTCCTTTTGATCTGGCGGCTGCACATTTGAGCATTGCATCATGCTCCTGGATTTTAGCTCTGTGTCCTGAGCCATTTTAAGTTGCAAGTTGATTCAGGGCTATTGGCTTACGACAAAGACGCCCCCTTTAACCCCGCCGGCAAAGCCTTGCACGAGGTTGGTTCCGAGACCTGTACCGCCGCAAACTGCTCTTGCGTGAGCACGCGGGTCACCACATCCTCCAAGTCCAGATGCTCCTCCTCCAGCTTGCTCCAGATAGCCGCCACCTCCTTGTGCGGGTACGGCCGCCCTGCTGTGCGACTTACGGGGATGCCAGGGTGCATCTTCTTCAGCTGGTAGTCCGAGCAGTCCTGGTACTCCCCCGCATCGTAGACAAAGTATCCTCTTGCTTCAAGCAATGACCCCAAACTGATTTTTGAGGGACCCGGGCGGAGGCGTCGCTGGAATGCTTCGGTGCCAAGCGCATCACGGCGCGCGGCTAAGCAGTGTTGCGCCGTTAAGCTAGGATCTTTGTACATTTTGGATATCACTATGCACATGTGGATATCACTATATTATATGTGCAGTTTGTAGTCGACACCTTTGTGGAGTTGTTGCCCCCTTTTCGGAAATAGTACCATGTTTCAGCGTTGATTCTTCAAGTGGCTCGCACAAGTTCAACTTGTTATAGGCGTCGTTTTGATGGAGCCACCCTCTACGTGGTGCCTTAGTGTCGTTGCTGGTGTTGTTCTTTTGCGGGTTCTTGCAAAACCGATCTCCGGGCTCGCTTTTTGATACACCTCCCGATCCCTTCCCTGAACTTTGAAAAAGGGTGGTTTGTAGTGAGGTTTAGGAGTGTTAAACAAAAGGGCCTCTTACTAACTCACTGAGTTCCGTTTCGGACTGTTACTTTTTTGGGCTTGGACCACCCTACTGGCGACAAAAAGTGCAGTTATCTTTCTGGCCAATCTGGGCATGGTCATAGACACGGATGCCATGCTGAGGTCCTTACGCCGTACCAGGAAATAGGCGCGCCGCCTTGCCCATGTTTCGGTGAGACCTGCGTGAACTTTTATGAAGATCTTGTTAGAGCCAAATGCCAATGAGTTTCGGTCCAAACGCTTGAACATCACGTAATGAGTTGTCAAAAGTCCGTGCGCAGCAGACATGTGAGAAAGTGCATGAGTCAGGCAAGCAGTTCTCATGTATTTTCAAGGAGGCGCGCTTGTAAAACCAGCAAAACACCACCCAAGCCCCAGTCGCGCTAGCTTTTTTTTTCACAGCCAGGCCACTGTATTGTCCTTGCGCGGCCAGAGCATGGAACGCGCGCGCAAGGAGCCTATTTCAGACCATACTGCAATCCGACATTGCTTGGGGCTTGCAGCAGAACTTTCGAAGAGCGGATGGCTCTGTTTACTGCATTTTTGCTGCTGCTAAGCACTCGGCGTAATCTGTGCAACCAAGCTGGTCCCAAAAGGCCCAGAGGCTGAGGAAGAAACTGGCAGGGATGCTTCGTGACAGCAAATGTGAGAGAGGCCAAGCGATAAACGGGCGACAATGCAAGGCGCAGGGAGCTTTCCTTGAGTGTCCATTTGGCCAGCACACCTGGTCAGCTTCCCAGAAGCTATGATGCCACTGCAGCTGTGCTAAAAAGAAGCACGAGTGACGTTCCAGCGGCAGTAGCAGCAGTGGCTCTTCGGAGGAACAACACATTGGGCCGCTGCTGCCCGCGGTCGTGTTTCCTTTTTGCCGGCGACGCATTTGGAAAACCCAATTAAATGCGCACAATTCACCAAGGACAAAAGGCGCGCATTTCCCCAAGCAAATGTTCGGCTGATTTCCGTACTTTCCACCGATTTCCGTACCTTCCCGTCGATTTCCGTGCATTTCCAGCTTCTGCATTTAGGCTGAGAAAACTGCAAACTTGGAAAAGCAGCAAGGAAATCGTCACACGTTTCGCCCGTTAGTGTTTTTTGCTCACAACTTTGCTAAAAACACAGTTTCTGACATGATTAAGACCATTGCGGCCCACACTTTCCGTTTCAAAGCCTCAAGGTTGCAGCTGTTCGTTGGTGTCTACTCACCCGGAACCCATCCCACCCGCGACTGGTCTTACAAGTCAGAGCATCACTTCGCTGTGGGTCTTGTAAAGCAAACCTATTGGGCTTTAGGTTACGTTGCAACTCTGAAATCAAACCAAGAAAAGGAAACCCGGTGTTGGCTCCCAGCGAATACTGTCGATTCCCCCAAACCTGAAGCACGTAGAAACAGAATATAGCACAGTGTCTGGTTGATTTGTTTGGGACATTTGGGACCTCAACTGTACCAAGCTGCAGTTGAATGTTCCAACCCGTGTCAGGTCGTCAAAATGTCTGTTCCTGAATGCAGAATTCCAAGCGTGCGATCGATTTGTTTTGGGGCCCAAATCGTCGTCTTTTCTTCTGAGATTCGTGGATACCTGTCTCCATATAAAGCCACTGGTGCCCGTTCTTGGACTGCGCCTCGCGTCGCGTCGCTCAGAGGCGACCGCAACGTGGTGAAGTTCTTCACCGAAATCGGCTTCGAGGTGGTCCGCATCGCCGGCCTGAAGTGCGGATCCGCCGGGGCGCTTGGGCGCCGAAGCGGCAACGGCGGCTTCGCAAATGGATGACTCTGGCAGGCGAAGTTTCCCAGAAAAAAGATTGAAGCTGGGAGGTATAGGGGGTTCTTGGATACGTCATTGATGGTAGGAAAAGTGGTGTGTGCTTCACGCAGCTCCTGAAAAATCCCCACAAAAGGGGGACTCTGTTCATATTGGCTCCAAAGGCTTGCTTGAAACCACCAAAAGGCATGACCTATTGCTGAGTTTTCTGTTTCGGGAACCCTGTAAAATAGGCCTTGTGGGAAAGTCATTCGTGTGGTGATTCCCGAGAGCCAACTTGCACCAGCCTTATCACACGGCCAAACTTACACGAGCCAACTTGCACGAGCCAACTTGCACGAGAACAACACGCACGAGATATCACACGACATGTCGACACGAAAGTAACGAGGTATCACACAGCCAAGTATCACACAGCCAAACTTGCACGAGACATGGTCTCTTTAGGCGCAGCGGTGGGACCGAACCCACCCTGCGAAAATGACACCCTCTGCGGGGATTGGCGTGGTCGAGGTGCAAAAACTGAGGACTTTTTACGAGGTGCGCGCGCGACCCTCTTCGTGGATTGGCATGGTCGATGTGCAAAAACTGAGGACTTTTTACGATAGTTGGTGCGACTTCCTACGAATAAACTTGGTTTTGTAAGTAGGACTACGCAGGAGCAAGTGCGGTGAGATTTCGTTTTTGGTTTTCAATCCTGCAAGGTTTCAAATGTCGGGGAAAATCTAAACACCTTGAAGAATGAGAGGATTAAGAAGACACCGTGGGTAAAGAGCAGCCCGATCCCACGGCTTTTTGCTCCTCTCTAACAACAGCCCTGGCTGCTGCTGTGGTTGCTAGTGCAAGCACCTCAGCACTTCACGCTCTTGAAAGCGGCCATGACGGCGCCTCCCACCCGAACAAAGCCAAACCTCTAACCAGCTTGAGTCAGGGCTGCGAGCCACGCAAAACTGCTTTTTCAGGCCACAGCGGGCTGACGTCCACTACGAGTGAAAATGTGTCGCTCAGGGGCGGGCCAACAGGCCGACAAGCAAAAGATGACGTTTCCTACGACAGGCCGACATGAAGGGTATTCTTCGTACGTTTTCCACATGGGCCGATGTGTGCCCCAGAGCGGGCCAACAAAGGCCGACATCCCCTCAAAGAGCCCAGAACTTTTCCTTCCCTTTCCTTGTAGACTTTCAGGCCAAGCAAAAAGAAAGCAGATACAAGAACCCCCCCCCCCGATTTCGCCTTTGTCTGTTTTGAATGAAAATATGTGTCCCACTAGCTGAATAATAGCCAAGAATGCATTCAGCGACGCAGTCAAAACCAGGATTTGGCACCCGTTTTTTTTTCGCATAGAATCTTCGAACAAAAAAGCATTAGTTTCACACTGCCTCTAACTAGAACTCGCTGCATCCAACAGCAACAAAACTAGACTTAGTTCAACAGCTAAGCTTCCTCAAGTAGACCCCGACCACTCATCTTAACCAGCCTAACTGCCGCCTAAGTCAGTTCCAGCTAGTGGCCGTACCGAGAAGTCACGTCACAACTTGCCTGTGTGGATCGTACGACGGAGAGCGTGCGCAGGTGTGCGTACCATGTGCCCAGGAGTGTACGCAGGCGTGCGACAGACTCACCATGTGCCAGGAATGCACGCAGGCGTGCGACGGAGGACGTGTGTGGGTGTGCTTACCATGCGCAAGGCATGTACTCAGGCGAACGACGGAGAGCGTGGGCGTGTGCTTCCCATGTGCCAGGCATGTACTCAGGCGTACGGCACAGAGTGTGTGGGCGGGTGTGCTTACCATGCGCCAGGCAGGTGCGGCGTGTACAAAAACCCACGTTTTGTGGGCCGGTAAAAAGTCTGTTTGCTTAAACATCCCGGATGCACGTGTTTCAGGTGTATGGAGTTGATCAGGTTTCACAGCGGGTCGTTAATGTTTCGAGCTCTCAACGACCCCATCTTGTCCCACGATAGGGGGCCCTTGGTTTGGGTGTTTTATTGGGACCTGAGCTGCCCCTGGAGCCTCACTCTCATTTGCTTGGCGGAGAAAAATCCAAACTGAGCCGCCGTGTTGGCTTGGAAGAAGCCAAAATTGGTCGCCCTCTGTTCTTGGCTTGTAGCATGTTTACGTCCAGTTTGTCCACTGACCCCAGTTTTCCAAACACCTTGGTCCACAAGCAGCAAAATGCGCGTTGGGGCTGAGGCGACGGACATTGCTCACGTGCCGGCAGCTGAGTGCGTCGGCATGTGTCAAAAGCCTCGGGACCTGAATGAAGGAGGTCCTCATTTTGAATCGCTCGGACGCTTAACAGCAAGCTCGATTTGTCTAGCGCAATTCAACTATGTTTCGATATTGTTGGGACAGGTTGCGTTGCGCTTTGGGTCATTTCAACGGCGCAGTCCCAGGACGAGTTGCGATCAGCTGACATGTGAAGCGCCCTTTCCCAAGCTGCTCAGCGAACGTGCGCGTTCCTACTGGGGTCCGCCCGCATTGGCTTACACCAGCTTGCAGTTGAAATTCCACAATCATATACCTTGGCAGCAGCACTATACTGAGCAAGGTTTGTTTAAACGACCAGGCTTGAATGGCCTCAGGGAGCGAAGGATGTTGTTTAAAAGACGCGCGTGTTTAAAGACCTTTGCGCAACGGGTAAATAATGTACACAAAAATGCTGCCCGGTTAAGGTTCATATCAAAAAAAAACTGGGCTAGTGGTCACGTGGCTTGTAAACCGGTCTTATTGCGTGCGTTTGCCAACGGAGGGCTGCCTTGTGAATGCGCGGGCATTTTTCAAAACAAAGCATGGGGCATGCCTGCTGTCAACAGAATTGCCAACTTTTGGCCTTGGTGACTTCAGCATCTTCACGCACCAGTTGCAAACGCTGGGGAAAACAGAAGGAAACGCTCAAGGCTTCCACCAGGAGCTCCGCCTCTGCTCGCAGTGGCAGCGCAATACCCACACGAGACCTGTTGAAGGCCCGTTTGCAAAACGTCACCTTGTTTGTTCATTTGTAAGTGCATGTTTCTTTTGGTGTGTTTGCAAAGGCATATTTGGTGGGGGTTATATTGGCTGGGTGCTGAATGGGTCTTTACTTAAGGTTGGACTCCCCAAACAGGATTCGATTTTCCTATTGGTTTCTCTTGAAAACCAAACGAAAAAAGGTGCCCTAAAAAGGACGAGCCACCCTATTTGGGGATCTGGAAAAAGGACCCATCCAGACCTGAGCAGACTGATGTAGTGTCAGGAAAGCGGGCGTGTCTTGTTTTGCAAGGTACACTCTTCAGGTGTTGAAATCGCCTTGGCACAGCCCCCATCCCCCCATGTGGAGACAAATGGGTTTTGGGAATGAACTTGTTCATTGGGCATTCATTCTCTTATGTGCTGACCAGCAAGTTTAGCACCCAGCTTACCCAGAAGTATAGCTACGCAGACCTGAGTGACGTGACACGAGCAAGGCCTGAAGCCTGGTGTGAGAAGGTGATCCGCGAGCATTTGCACATCCCCAACATCGACGCTCGGATCGAAGCTGACCCGTTTGGCAGATGCCGACAGAACTTTTTGGTACATTCACTTGAGTAAAAGAAAACTAGATTTACTGTTGGTTGGTATACTTGTTGGTTGGCTGACTTGTCCGAAAACTGTCTGTGGGGCTTACAGTCTTGCTCACCGGATAGGGAAGGAAATCTGTGGTCATGGTTAAGCACTTTGGTACAAAGGCCTCAGCCTTTGACGAAGGAAAGTTCCTCAGCTTTTCCGACCAGTGATTCCCAACTCCTGAAGGTGACTGTTAGGGCCCCAAAACCCCCGAAGAACAACCCGTGACATATGAAAGAAATGGCTAAGCTACAGTTTGAAGGCTGCGAGACCTTACTAACAGAAGCAAAACTTTATAGATCCTCCCTTTCGGGGTCCTGTGTTGCTTTTGTTTTTCGGGGCGTTGGCGGTTGGATCTTTGGTTGGTTTTGGTTGGTTTTGTTTCGATTGTGACTCGACTGTGTCGCCTGACACTGCCTGAAGCTAAGGATGCGATCGTCCAATGTGGGACGAATCTATCCATGGCCGCTCGGGCTGAGCAACGATCATTAAGGGAAGACATAGGGCACACCAGCCCCAAATTGCCAATAGAAAACGGGAGGCTACTCAAAACCATGTCAAATGGAGAAACCATCAGCATTGAATATTGACCGTGGCTTCTATAAGGAAGGTAAAGGAGTGTTTGAACTTTCTGCAGAACCTGGGTTTGATGGGATTTTAGTAGGGCTCCCCAACGAGAGGCCAGTTAGACAATTCAGTTTTCCAAGGCACTCTTTTTGCAGGTGCCGTTGGCGGACAGGCTGGAGCGCGAGTTACAGGTTCCGATCATTGCAATCAACGCGGCTCGGCGAGAACCAGCAGAACTGGTTTTGCGGCAGTTGCTTGGATGTGTCTTTTTTTGGTGGTACCCCTTTGGTGCGGTTTGAAGCGAAAGCAAATGGAAAACCACCATTTTCGGGGTCCCAAAAAAAAGGCAGACTCCCTACTGTGACGCTGGCAGTGTTTGCATCGACTTTGACGCTGAGGTAGCGTGCCTGTGGTTTGGAATGCGAGAGGCGAGCTTTGAACTCGGGTGGGTTGGGGGGGTACTGTGTGTGCATCGACTCCCATTCTTCACGCCACAAGTTGGGTGTGGCTTCTTGGGCATCGCTCTGGACAGGTTCAGCAATCAGAGTTGCATGTTCAGAGTGCATGTCCAGCAGACGGAAAATGGAGATCTGTAAAGGAACTGGAACTCCCGTGACGGTGTCTGGTCGCGTTCTGAGTCCGGGAATGATGGGCAAGCTGCATCACAAGTGCTCAGCAGACATACGGGAAAGTACATGAATATCCCATCCGGTCAAGCAGTTCCCAAGTGCTTTCAAGGCGGCACCCTGTAAAACCAGCAAACCACTAGTTTCGCGCGAGTGTCACGCTAGCATGTTATCTTCACAGTCACGCAACCTGTACTGTCCTTGACGTGGAACTCGCGCGTAACGGAGCCTTTTTTCAGAATCATACTGCAGGCAGACATCGCTTGGGGCTCGCAGCAAAACTTTCGAAGAACTGATGGCGCGGTTTACTGCACCTTGACCGCAGTCACTTGTGCGTTGTGGAGCTGCTTAGCGCTCGGAGTAATCTGTGCAACCAAGCGGGAGCTGCCAAGCAGCTGGTCCCAAAGCGAGGTGGTCAGCGGGCGCTAGCGTGGCGCGCACAGCAATAAGTGCTAGCCAAAGTGACCTACACAGGCTTTACATGGCCCATTGTGTGGCCCAGAGGCTGAGGAAGAAACTGCGAGATGCTGGCAGGGATGCTTCGTGACAACAGATGTGAGAGAGGCAAAGCGATGAACGGGCGACAATGCAAGGTGCAGGGAGCTGGACAGCGTCACGTTGAACCTGCGTTGCCAGCGCTTGCCTTGAGGACAGTCGGTCAGCACAGTCGGTCAGCTTCCTAGAAGCTATGATGCCACTGCCGCTGCGTTAAGAGTAGCACGAGTTACCTTCCAGCGGCAGTAGCAGCAGTGGCTCTTCGGAGGAACAAAACATTGGGCCGCCGCTGTTACGGTTGTGTTCCTTTTTGCCGGCGACGCAACTGTTTGCTGAAAACGCAGTTTCTGACATGACTAAGCCCACACTTTCCGTTTTAAAGCAGCACGCTTGGAATTCTGCGTTCATGACCTTTTCAGGAACAGACATTTTGACGACCTGACATACGACTGGTAGCCACTAAGAGTTAATTCACATGGGCTCTCGGAAAGACATCGACAGTTGGTTTTGGAAAGGAACCTCGGGATTTCCTACGAAGGCTGGGTCTTGCCGGGCAAAAAGTTATGGTTTTCCAACACGCAAAAGAACCGGTCATGGCGATCAAAGTGGTAGCCACCATCACCAGGTGATATCTGTTCAACAAAAATGAGCGAACGCAACAAACCGACCTCCAAACCAACCTCCAACACGGGGCGCCGAACTCAAAACGGAATTGGCCTTCCGATCACAGTTGCTCGGACGGCAGGCTGGCATCGATGCCAAGCTGGAAGGCTGCACTCGCCTCTTCCGCGAGCATTGAGGCCATGTACAGCGAGGCCAGCAGTGAGAGCGCTGGGCCGTAACCAACTTATCTCCCGTCAAGTGGCTGTGGTTGTCCAAAACAAATGGGTAACCTCAAAATGGCTTGTCGACTGGAAATGGAAGCAAGGACTTTTAAAACCTGCCGTCCATATCATGGTGGTGACTAACTTTGACCCATATGCAAGTTTTCTTATTTATCGTTGGAGCGGCGGGTTAAAGAGCAAGGCTGAAGAGCGGAACTGACCTCACAGCACGTGCCTCCGGCCGGTGCTGTTGACCCGAGATCTAAGTAGAACCCTTCCCATGAAAAAGGGGTGTTCCCTTTCAAAATGGTCTTCATTAAAATGTCATATTGAGATGGTTACTGGTGATACATCATTAGTTGTGTTTAGAAGGTAGTCTTATTTAGTTATGGGATGTAAGTCTAGTTTTGTGGTAGAAAACGAAATTTATTAATTGGGGGAGCCGCTAACATGAATAGCTGAGACTTGTTGACTGGCTTCGCTTAGATTCCCAGATTCCCCACATCTCACATTGCCCCAGTCAATGCTCTGGTGGCTTGCAGAGGTCTCAAGTTTCCAAAAAGACGTCGCCGTGATTTGCTATGTGCGCTTTCGTTGTGTGTGTTTTTTCTCTTTTTTTGCGTGCCTGTTCTTTCGCCGCCTTGCAAAGGATATCCCACGTGGGTATTTGTCTTGTAATAGGAGGGCCTTTTGTTGAGGAAGAACGGCAGTGGGTGGATATGACGTATGTTGGAGATCCAAGAAAGAAAACTGGTGTTTCCCCCTAGGTCAACTTGTGGCATTCTCTTATATCCGTGTGCTTTGCAGAAATCATGGCTGGCCACGATAAAGTCAGCTCAGGTTGAATTGGAATGCTGGCCAAGCCCAAAGTGATTAATGGAAGTGAGAGCCTGCTCGAATTTTGCAACCGTTTTGTTTGGGGGGGTTCCCCAAAATGGCGCAACGGTTTTCCTTGTGGTTTCCATATAAAACCAAACACAAAGTGCACGATTGCAAAATAACAAGCCCAAGTGGCTGTTTCTCAAGTTGTTCGGGGGCCAACCAGGCGGCTTACGTTTTGGCCCCGTTTAGACATGAATTGCCCGCCTAGGACTTGAGAGGGGCCCAATCCATCCGTATCGCGAACTGTATGACAAGTGAAAGGTGCGCCATTGAATGGGTATGTTGTTTTACTTCCAGCTTTCCCCGAGTGAGTCAGCAACTTGGTACGGCAGGGACAGGCAACTCACCAAGCTAGCGAACAAATTTGGCACGCAATGCTCCCTTCGAACTCAGGGAGCCAAGCTTTCGGGTAAATATGGAGAATGCAAAGCGTACCCTGGCGCGTACCCTTACCCTTCTTCTCGATGTTTTGGATGTTTTTTCAACGGCCCACTTTTGTCATGTCGCCACATTTTTGTTTCTCCGTTCGCAGCGATCTCAAGCGGCTGCGGGGCGAGGCATAAATACCTTTATCGGGAATGTTACGGCCTCAGAGCACCCGATGGCTGGGTTCTCAAGAAATGGCCCCAATGAACCGTCCAACTGCTGGTGTCCATCAAGGGAATCCCCAACCGGAACTAGGTTCATGCCCAAAACCCTGGGTGCTGAATGGGTGGCGTTTCCTTAACATTGAGAAGGGGACCCTACAACAAAGGACACATGCGGATCTCACCGCGCTTTTGGTTCAGGTGGGCAGATGTAGCACAGTTCCCCCTGTTACTTAATTGGGGTTTCTCCCGTATGCGTCTTGCAGTCGAAGCTCGTGCTGAGGCTCCCCTGGTTTGCGGGGCGTCTCTTTTAGGTTTGACAAGCCTCAAGCTTCCTGAAACATGGCCATGCCGATTGGATTCGCTTGGCATATCAAACGAGGCGCTCGCAGACAGCCCGGACTCGACCAAAGACTCTCACTTCGCGTTTTCACGCGGGGGTTGATCAATGTTCCGTTCGGTCCCCGGGGAACTTTTTCCCCATGTGGGGAAATATCAAGTAGTTTTAGTGTTTGCTCAACCCATGCTCATCCCATCTAAAGGACCTTTTGATCAACCCCCATGCTGATGCTCGTTTTTGAGCGTACATCAAATGAAACTCATCATTTTCTGGGTTCCGCCAATTCGACTACCCACATGGAGATCTACTTGTGGGGTTTGGTAAACAAGGGTTCTGGAAGTGGGCGGTTTTTAGGTTTCGGGAAGGGAGTGTTTCCCCACCAACTAGCAGCGAGTAGACCGAAAAAAACAGCATTTGGCTTTTAGTTGTTTTCAGTTGGCTTTGGTTTTGGAAACGGACAGCCCAGTTGGCGGGCGGGGGCGGGGTTGGGGGCTGGGGTGGGCAGCGGGGTGGGCTGCGGGGCAGGGTGGGCGTGGGTGGGTGGGGGCCGGAGTTGCGGGCAGGCGTGGGGGGGGTGGGCAGGGGGGGAAGTGTTTGTCTCTCTCTATCTCTCTCCTTCTCCTTCTCCCTCTCTCCCTCTCCCTCTCCCTCTCCCTCTCCCTCTCTCTGTCTTGGGTTTTGTCTCTTTGTTCTCTGTCTCTCTCTCCTTCTCCCTCTCTCTCTCCCTCTCCCTCTGCCTCTGCCTCTCTCTCTCTCTCTCTCTCTATGGGGGTGGAAAACGGGGGCGCAGGGTGCGCAGGGCGGCGGGACGTTCCGCAGCTCCGGCTGAAATTGGCAATTTGTATGCGCTGAGTACGCTCAAATCCAACTTTTAACAGCTGAAAAGAAAAGAGAAGAAGAGAAGCGAGAATCAGACACAAGAGAAACGAAGAGAAAGAGATACAGACAGGAAGAGATACAGAAAGAGAGATACAACGGAAAGAGACAGAGAAACAGGAAGATAAAGAGATACAGACAGAGATAAAGAAAGGGAAAGAGAAAGAGCAAGAAAGAGGAATAGAAAGAGAACGAAAACGAGAAAGACAAAGAGAAAGAGATGAAAATCGCCGCATGCGCCCAGGCTTCATTCGATGCAACCGTAACCCTGTCTTCGGGGTTGAGTTATCACCTGAGCTGTTTTTTTGTCCAAATTCACTGTTTCTCATTGTTGGACTTTCCGAGGTCGGCGTGCGATCGCAGACCCACGTGGGGTTGGGGGGCGCTTGGGCAGGGCGGGGGGCGGGAGATTTCGTCTGCATCTGCGTGTTCTGGTGTTCTCGACGGGTGTGTCTTGCCGGATTGCCCGGACTGCCCGTGTGGATAGCTCGAAGCGTTACTCGTTCGAGGAGAAGGCAGCATCAAACACATCAAGTCGATTTAGCCCGAATTAAAAGCTGTTGACAACCTGTCGTGTTTATTCCAGAATACGATGAGTCTGGCTTTTTATCCATATTCATAGCAAAGATGAACTTATTTGTTTTATACTGATAAAATTCAATACTAAGATGATGTTGATGAAATCAAGGTAAATTCAATGCTTTTCGTAAATAGCAGGGATATTCAGGAAATAGCTTTGAACCGAGTTGGAATTGAAATTCTAAATCACGGTCGTTGTCATAAATTCCCGAATTGGCAAGAGTAATGCGGCTCATAGGATGATAAAATATGTTGTATTGTTTATGAACTTCGGCACTTGAACTTGTAAGGTCTGCTTTATCGAAGGTGATGAATGCGGCAGCAAGTTTAGACACAGAACGAACAACAGTAGTGTTAGTTGATGATTGACCGACAACAGAATTAGACTGACAAATGTAAGTGTTATATGTGATAGCGAGTTCTTTTGAATCGAGGAGGTGAGAAACATAGCGATTGCGGAGGTCGTTGTCCAACGAAACCAAATCGCGTTGAAGGAAGCAATTATTAAGTTTGAATTGACCGCTCGTATTTTTGAAATCATTAGGTGCCGCCTCGCTGGCGGGGAAATCACCACTAACACCGGGTGCAACAATACAATCAGTAAAATTTGAAACCAGTTCAAGTTCCAAAACAAGAGGACACGCTTTTAGAGGAATATACTTAAATTGATTGAGTTACAGGATTAAATAATACACTATACTTGTATTATTCTCCATTAGTTCCAGATGAAGCCAATACTAATGTCCATTATTTAGCATTACAGTTAGATGAAAGAGCATATACTGGCTCAGAACTGGCGACAGAATTAAAATCAAAAATATACGGTGTTGTTGATAATACTAACTTCTCAAATACTGATGAAGTTACTTACAGTGTAAACACTAATAAAATAACATTTTTCAAACTATGCTGATAGACAATCTTGCAGTATTAACTGATGAACAGATGAAAATAATATATGCTGACTGTATTTGGAATGGAAGTGATGATGCTAATAATTTACCTTCTGTTAATGAAGTTTCAATCAAATGGTAGTTTATCAATATAATAATCCTTGTGTTTCTGAGATTATTAATCTTCAACCTAGTAGAAATATCTATCTTCATTCTTCTCAATTGTCTAATTATAATCAAGTAAATTTAAGGACGGGCGATAGTACAATTGTTAAGAGAGCGCCAGCTACAGCACCACACGCAGGAATTGTCTTTGATAATGAGATGAACGCGTTAGATTATTTGGATGTATCAAACAAAGTTTTAAACAGTTAGACTTCTGGCTGTCTCCTTAGGTACTGAAGTTAATTTGAACGGGGTTAATTGTTCACTTTCATTATTGTTCGTGAAAAGCATTGTTTTAAACATATTCTAGAACTGTTCATATAGAAAATATATAGACTATACTATATGACCAGTATTGAGACAGTAAATGTTAATGACGAAACTAAAAGAGACGAACGCGAAGCATTCGCGTCGCTACGCGAATCCCCTATGAAAAATGAAGTTGTTGAACAACATGAAACAGTTAATGAAGAATGCGAAGCCTTCGCGTTGCTACGCTAATCTAAACCAGAAGAACCAAAAGAAGAAACAACGCCAGAAAGCGCAGAAGAACGCGAAGCCTTCGCGTGCTACGCGAACCTAAACCAAAAGCAAAAGCACAAGCATTACCAAGGATAAAGAAAGAAATTGAAGTAGTCCAATGTGAAAAAATATGTTAAATCTATGAATGCTAAGTCACTTCGTTTTTCATCCTAAAATTGTATTGGAGCACCCACTGAATTATTACCAGTTAAACCTCAACAACATATAAGAAAGATAAAACCAGAAGTGAAAGAAGAGATTAAGAATGAAACAAAAAAGGAAGTGTTTAAAG